ATGGGGAAAAACAGAGCTCATGCAGACTGGCAGCCCCGCGCCTTTCTGCAATTACCAACAACAGTTCGTTTCTGTCACCGCTTACTAAAAACATGGCATAGCTTCTGAAATAAGCGAGCACTTAAGGGAAACCCAGACCTTTTATATCTGCCACTTATTTCCTGATTATCTTCCTGGAGGTCAGGCCCTTCATTTTGACACTTAATGAATAAAATGCCCACGTTGCAGGAAATGGGATAATGAATTGTGAAAAGACATAATCAGCAATGACTAAATAATTAAGGGAATTGAAATGTAGAGTCATGTGGGAATGTATTAATAATAACATGATTTTTCCATATGCTAAAAAATTCTGTCTGTTTTTAGAAAATCAGCCATCACACATGCTCTGTGGCAAAAAAAAAAAAAAATATTAATGTAGACTAATAGGAACTGTAATTAGATGTTCTGCTTTTAAACAGCTGAATAAAAGATGAAATCATATAGAAAGTATATTTAGATACAAGCCAGAAAGTAAACTGATTATTATTCATAGTGCTGTTAATAGGAGCTGTAATTTATGCATCTAGTGGGAATCATGTTAGGCAATTAGGAAAGGGAGTCACACTTGACTTCCCTTTATGCATTTACATATTTATATATTTTTCTATATCTTGCTAATGTCTCCATCTTTCCATTTACCTTTAATCCACATAACTACCTAGAATAATACCTTTTACAGCGAGATTCTCCGTTGGAGTTCAAAAGTTGGCCTTCACTTAGATTAAAGAAAACCACGCAAGCTACTCTTTGATCATATTTGTCTCCTGACATTGGACTTTTGCAGGTCCCTGTTACTACATGAAGAATGGGACTTTTTAATTTCTCTCAGCACTTCACCTTCAAAGGCTTGCAGCAGAAATTTTCATGGCAGTTGGACGGGATTGTGCCCACTTCTGCTCCCCTCTATCTGTGTTACCCTCTCCCTGCTTACCCAGGTTTAATTGCTTAGTCTCTGTACTCTGCTCCTAACAAAACCTGGGATCCTATAATTCACCACACTCCCAGCACTGAAATCCCAATGATCTGGATTTTGGTTCCGGGTGGCATTGCTGTGTTTGTGGAATATACAATCCTTTCTTTATATGTATTTGATACTTTCAACAGTTCAATGCAAGAATGCTTGATGCTTATTTTGTGTAACAACATGGTTATTGTTTTCATCCAAAAGTGTCCTAGTATCTAATCACATGTTAATGCAGACTCTCAGCCATCCCATAAAATGTGGGTCAGCCAGAGAGGGTCACATCACCAGATATGTTTGAACAGATGGGTGGGCTGAGGTACAGAGAGCTGTTATGATTTGCTCAAGGTAAAAAAGCAAGTCAGTGGCAGAGCAAAGATTAAAATTCAAGGCATGAGATCATCAAAGGATTAAGTGCTGTGTTCCTCTGCTTCATTTCTAGACATATATAACGTGTACCTCAGATAATCTTCAGATTTGAAGATCACAGTTTGAAAATATTCAGCACATAATTCTCAAAAAGGAGAGGCAGGGCGACTCTCCAGGGACATGGAAGGGACCTCCAGGGACCTCAAGCAGGAGTGGACCAGTGGGTGGGAGGGGGATTTCTCCCACAGGAGCTGTGCTGCTACTGGGTTGCAGGGCTGTTTCACAGCTAACCTGCCACCGTGAGTACTCAGGAGCAATGCAAGGTGATAACCTGAGCCAAGTGCCCATTCCCAGCAGATAAGCAAAGTCTATTTTTTCCTGTCTGTGTAAATGCTGACCTGGGCAAAACTGCCCCACAAGCCAGACCCTGGTTACTCCCAGCCATGTCTGAGGTGACTTCCCGAGGAGGCTTGTAACACATTATCAGTGTTAAACTTTGGGTTAATCTAGCCCAGTTTTACTTGATATGTTCTTCTGTTGAGGCTGTTCTTCTCACTGCTTTGCTGGGTGCAATGCTAGAGGGAAAATGCTGAAGCCTCCCCAGGGCATGGGGCACTCTTTCCCACTTGCTCTGTACTCCCGCAAGCCCTCCTAGAGAAGAGGACCTTGTGTCTTGGCACAGCCCTCTGGCTGCAGGGCTCGTGTTTTGGCTGTGGACCATCTTTCATAATTGGGCTGGCGAGCGCTGCCTCTGCTCCCGCTCGGGGCTGGGGCTGCCAGTGCCAGCTGCTCCCCCCACCACCTGGGCTGCAGATGGCCCCACCAGCACCCGGCAGCTCGCCCAGCAATGGTCCTCTCCTTCCCCCAGTCCTGCCGAAATGTCTTTACAGTACTACTTTTAGCAGACATTACTCAGTAATGACCCGCTCTTTGGCACACCCTGCCACCCTCCTTGCCTTTCTCATTCTGGAGCTGGGAAGTGGGAGATACTCCATGAGAAATATTGTGTTAAGCTACAAGCCACAGAAAAAAGTGGTTAAAAGAAGTAAATGCATTCCCATGCATTCCAATAATGCTATTTTTTATCAGACAGAGGGTGATTTTAATTCACCCCCACGGTGTGTGTCCCTCCCCAGCCATCTCGAGCATTGCACGGGTCTGGCTCATTGCATTTGTTCTCCATCAAAGTGCGATATCTTGGGATGGATTCTGTAGGCTTAAAATAGAAACATTCCTGCTTGCTGCTGCTGATGTATCATTGGGTAATCATTAAATAAATTCAGTGTTTTACTGCATTAACAAAAACACATGATTGTTTAACAGAGTATATTACAGAAGATGGAGGCTTTAATGGTCTCTATGGATTTTTAGTTTGTAAGAGTACATTATGAAGCTGTCTTGGTAGGGTGCTGTTTTCATATGTGAAAGAAGTTACTGGCGTTATACATCATTTTTATATCTTGTTGCTAGGCAACATATCATAGTGCAGTTATTGCAAAGGTGTCTGCTTCCTCGTTAAAAATCTTCATGTTGCTCCTTAATTCTGCAAAATTAGCTTTGTTATTGATCTTATCCTGCTTCCTTGGATATCTATTGATTGAGGTTTCATCTGTTAGGTTTTGGAGAAATATAACAGGTTTTTTATTAACTGAATTTGGGGTTGAAACCTAAAGCATGTGCATTAGCACTAATCTTTAGTTTCCCCCTTCATCGCAATTTGTTTTCATGCAGGGAGCCGTGCGTTTCCGTTCACTTGGGATTCAAAATCAGAGAAGTAATTTGAGTGGTAGTGTATTTAAGATATGGCCTATGACAGCTAGGCTTAAAAAAACAGCAACAACAAAAAGCAGGGGCTACCTAGGGTGCTCTGGGAAAGATCTAAAAATTCCCTTGAAAACTCATTTCTTCCTCTCTTCAGAATAATCCACAGTTCCTGCTTCAGCATAGTGCTGTTGTGAACTCCTGCTATATTAGCATTTCCAAATCTGGGGGCAGTTTTACCTCAACTTGGGTCAGGCTGTGCAAGATTTGGAGCTTTACAGGACCAGGCTGACTTCATCACCTCACTTCATTCTCTCCTGGAGAAGGCAAATCTGTTTCAGAAAAACACAGTTGGTAATAACAGGCAGTACACTCACAAGTATCTTCTGTGAAACAAAATAGTATTTTTTTTCTGAGTGCTAGCATTTATTCCCTTCATTACCGCTCTTCCCAAGCTTCCTTGAGTTGGAGAGCTGTCTGCCGGGGCCATATGTGCTCCCCAGAGGCAGGGGTGGCTCTGGCACGTGTCCCTCCAGATGCCTCTGCAGGCTCACGTGGAGCCAGGGCACGTGGAGGGGCTGCCAGCACCAGGCAAGGGGGGTACCAGGGGCTTCCACAGGCCTCCGCGTGCAGCAAATGGTTATTATCCTCATCCCTCATACCTTTGTTACTGGCATATTGTAATTACTTTCATTAACCAGACTTAATGCAGTGGCGGTTGGTATAGCTACTGTTCATTTTGGGGCAAATGGTGCTATTATAATATCAGGTTTTAATTAAGCTGTTTTGGATAAAAGCTGGCATGCTAAAAGCCTTTTAAAATGCTGTTCCTTGGTACACACCCCCACAACAACAACCAGTAAGCCAATGGGATTTTATCTAACCTCTCCTTTGGAAGATACCATTTGGCATGTGCTATCAGGGCAGTTATTTCTAAAGGTTTGTGCTCCAGAGGAAGAGGGGAGTGAAACAAACTTGAAAGAAGTTCATTCTCTTGTTTTTTAAGCTGTGGAAGAGTTAAAAATAGATATAAGAATTTGTTATGCTCTAAAGCCTAATTTTTTAAGGAAAAGTGTTCAAATATTTGATTTATAATGGGACTAATTAGTTCTGTGAAATTTTAATAGATGAAGTTGTAAATTAAAGCAAAGAAATTGCAAAGGCCAAAATGTTTCACTTCACAATCAATCAATGTACTTTCCTAAAAAATGTCTGCAAATAATTTTGACATTTTAAAACTGATAGTTACCTGTTCACTCTTGAACAGCTGCCTACATGCAGCTTCCATTGCTTTTAACCACACAATTTACCTTTTAACATTTGGGCCCCTGGATCCTACAACAGCTTTAGTTCTGTTCCTCTGACTAATTAGTGAAAACATTAGCGTTGTTTTCACACTTACAATTCCTCTGCTCTGCACCACTGGCTGACCCTGATAATAGCAAGTGATGGATATCAAACCTGACCAGGTTGATCTAACTCCTTTCCCCCACATCTCTGATCTCTCTGAGGAGATTCACTGTAGTCCAAGAAGTGTTGCCAGTGTGCAGAGGAATCGTCCTTCCATTTCAGAGGAGAAATGAGTTTGGGGAATCAGCCTCTCTTTTACTATCTGTTTATCCATAAAATCGTATTTTGTTTGAGCAGCTTTGCCAGCTGATCTCTTGTTAGCTCCTTTGGTCTATGTAGAACCCCCCGCAAAAGTGATTGCACCCCCTCATGGCCAATGAACTCAGTTATCAGTAAGAATCAGCTTAATTGGATGGTTGCTTCATTCATGGGAAATTTCTGCCATAGGATGTCTCAGTTAATCATCTGTTGTTTCTCCATGCAAAAGACAGAGAATTCTCTCTTAATCCACATTCAGATGAAAGAATTAACCGAGACAGTGCCACGGGACAAGAAGAGCACACCTGTGAGCACCGAAAAAGCTGTTACTTCTCACCCGACATCTCCAGAGCAAAATGGAAGATACCCCAGAACAAAACAGAAGGTGAGCCTCCAATTCACATGCCACATCATGTCCCATACCTACGTTGTACATTATTTCACTGATTTATAAAAAAAATAGGTGCTGGTTTCCAAGCAGACTATAGATCCATTGACTCTCATTGCTTTGGAAAGGCTACCCTTGCTGGTCAGCAGGCCAGATGTGCAGCAGGATTCCACATCTGCCTCCTCTCCCAGCTACCACAGTATCTCTCCTCATGTTCATTTGCAGGATGAGGTCAGCTGAGGAAGTGAAGTGGCAGCCTTCCTGTGAAACTCACTGGCAGGCGTGAAACCTCAAACCGTCCAGTCCCCACTCCAGGGCTGTTCAGGTGCTGACAGACAACCTTAGCCCTGTGCCGTTACAGCCACTGAACACTTTACCTGGTCCTGGGGAAAAAGAGTTTTCTTACATGTTGTCAAGGAGACACATGTCATTCAAGATGATGCATATTTCTGGCTGCCACCAACTGGCATGGCCTGTAAAATGTCTTACCCCATCAACTCAGCTTTTCAGGACTATACAGGAATTTGTGGATGAAAAAATCTCAGTGACCAGGAAGAGCCATGTTACAAACTTCTATTTGCTATGCACTTCATTTGAAAAAAAAAACAAAACAAACCCTGAATGTTTTACTCCAGTAAATACTCTGCTTCTCCCGTGACTCTCTGTATGCCCATAATTCTTAGAAAACTCAAGTAGGCAGGATCAGGATAATTTTGTTTTGCCAGTGTGATGAACCCGCCAGTCCTGTCTGTTGCCTTTCTGTGAATCTTAGTCTCCCAGAACCAGAGCCAAATTTGACACCTGGTGCCAGCCAACACCTGATAGTCCAGGGTTTTTTTGGCCAACACTCTTCAAAACATCTTAGCGCCAAGTGCAGTACCCTCTACAAAGCTGAATGTAAGAAGTGTATGGACTGGATTCCTTCCCAGCAGCTCTCTGATCAGGTCAGTCAGAATACATCTATCAGCTTTGTTGTTGGAGCTCAACACCAAGGTCTCACCATTTCATGTCATGATGTTTTTGGTCTTGACACTTTCATTTCAGTCTGAGTTGCCAGGGGGGAAAAAAAAAAAAAAAAAAAAGAGGAATGCTGGCCAATCTGCAGCTTCACCGTGGGATGCTTTTGCTGGCATCCATTTTCCTATATTGTCAAACATGGCAATTCTTGGCCCTTGCTGGTCTTGCCCCCAACTTATTTATCATCTCTTGGTTAGGATACAGAGGTGGATGATGCCTTTGATCAGCCCACTTGTTAAATGTGCTGTGATACTTCTAGGAAAAAAAATGAATATAGCAAATACGCCTAGTAGCAGCTGGGCTGCCAAAATACTGTTACATAATCTTAGTGAGATTAAGACTATTTTGCCAGTCAAAATTAAGATATTGTTTCCTTGTATTGCTTTCATTGTCTTCATCCATCTTGAGTTTCATCTCATGTATTTGGACTGCCAGCGTTTTGGGGCAGGAACTGCTCTTTCAGTGTCTATGTGGGGTGATTTGCTGAGCGGATCCAGACCAGGACTCCAGACCATAACTAGGGATTTACACCTCCTGTTCACAATTATCATGTAGTTTCACATCCCAAAGTGAGATTATTTGCAGAGTCCTTGTGTTCCTAGCTGGGAGGGACCCTTCATCTTGGCATTTCAACATGTCTTGGAACAGCCTGAAATGAGCCTTTCCTAGAGAACGGTGGAGAGATCCAGGACCTGTTGGCTTGCCCACCCCATGCCTCATCCTTTGAAGGACAAAGTTCAGTCTCATTTGAAATTGTTTCCTAAATTCAAAAGATTCTGAGAAGACCCTTTGCCAAAAACTATAGCTGTAGCTTCACTTCTCATGAGGCATTTCTCCCCACAGGGGTCTCCCCACCTTACCAGGCCATTCCAGCTTCAGGATGGAGTTCCTTGCAGGCTATTACTATGTCTTCTGAAGGTACAGAAGGGAATCTTTAAAGCCTGTATATCTGAGGGGAAAAAAATTATAATTGCTCCACCACCACCACTGCATTCATTCTTCTGAGAGATTTCAGTAAAGACAATCTAAATTCAGCACTGGAAATGTGCTTAGATGATGTCACAACCTGCAGATAATTTCAGACTTCTGCAGATCTCACATAGATATCCAACTTCATCAATTCAGCTTTCTACCTATTTTCTTCCCCAAAATCTCAGTTCACTCACAACAAAGGAAGATGGTGAGATTTCATTTAGTGTGTATAGGATTGGTACATTGAGGTGGTCCCCCAGAATTGCTCAGGTGTCCAACCTGAAAAGTTTAGAAGCCAGTTTATCCCTATGTAGACTTGTCCAGGTGAATTTTATACTGTATTCCTATTTCCCATGGGTTACTCCAATATCCTCCAGACAGAGCTCATTGTCCTCCATTTGCCAAGTACTCAGACTTGCTTCCTAATGCTTTGTTTATTCATTTACTTCTCCAAGTCCTCAATTCCAGTTGGTAAATCGGATGCCAGTGCTGATAAAGTTGTCCCTGTTGTTATTTGGGTAAGATTTCTCCTCTCACACCTAGATTTAAAATGCAGCTTGTTCATTATCAAGAACTGGGTCTCTGCAGACCAGCACTTGGAGGAGAGGAGCACCTTCCTTGGCACTAACTGTGGTTTTTCACAGAGTTTTCCACACAGACTCCATGACTCGCCTCCCCTCCCTGCTGACTTGGAGCCCAGTGCTCTGTCATACCTCACTGGTGAGGTACCAAGTCATAAATGGTCTCCCCATGACAATCTTACTGCTGGTGCTACTAAAAGGGTCTGCATGGGGATGGTGCACCTGGGGCTGCCTCAGGTGTTGCTGCTGTAGAGGAAACCAGTGTCTCCTGCATCATAAACTTGCCCCTGGAGCAAAAATCTGTGTGGACAGCCCCTCTTCAAGAACCACAGTTAATGTCGGGTAAGTTACCTTTCTTTCCCCCTCATTCTGTAATTAGACATCCCAATTATGTAGTTTAATCTAATTAAAGTAATGATGCAATTATACAATAATTGATACATAATCGGCATGCAAAAAACCTGTGTAAGTATTATTTAACCAACAGAGCAAATTCTAGATGAACATTTTCAGTCTTATAAAAGTATATCATTTTAGCAGCCAACTTGAGGAAGGGATCTTGTCTACTCAAGCATTTTTAAGTCCTTAATGCCACTAGTAAAATTACTTGTTTTCCTATTTATGGACATTCAGCTTCCATTGACTTCAACGGGAGCTGTCTCTGAATACCCACAGACAGAAGTAAAGCTTAGAGCCTCTGAAAGACTCACCACAAGTATCTCATTCAAAGATGGCAAAGTGCTACAAAGCCATTTCAGGATTGCCTGCTGTTAGAGATGAAAAAAAGATAAATCTCATGGTCAATTGCAAGAGAAGACAGCTCTGTGGTACCTATACTGGTACGTTCTCAGCAAACCTTACTACTTAAGATCCTTTTTAAAAAAATAATTTAAAATTGCTTCCTCATTATCGAAAATAACTGTGCAAAATATGTGTATTGCATATGCACCACACTTACAGATATATAAACTAAGCTTTCGTTGTGGATCTACACGATGTCTCATGCACCAAAATCATGAGAATATGCAGGTGGATGCAGGAGTCCTGGCTCTAATGCCACTAACAGGAATGTAGTTTTCTGTATTGGCTCATTTTTCTGAAATAAATTAGCGGAGAAGCATATGTTTCATTGTATGAGGATGTTAGCTGTTTCTGTAATAGCTAAAAAATCCTGTTCTAAAATGACATCAGAGACCTAGGGGCTTGTCTGATAAGAAATGGGATTTCTTCTCATCCTTGGAAAATATTTCCTTTAACCTACTCCCCATCCCCTTAGTTGTGCAGTGAACTGTGTACCCCGTATGTTTTTTTCCGACCAGTGATGTGGCTGAACATCAGCGGTATTTTACCCTTGTTTTGAAAAGCACTGGGGAATCAAACACATCCACATTTATGTAACACTTTATAATTAATCCAGCGTGTCTGAATGTGTGAGAAAACAAGAATGGCCTGTCCCTTTCTTTGTCTTTGTTACATAACTCATGCTTTAAACTAGGTGCATTATCTTGTGAATGTTATATAGCAAGTTTGTTCAAAACACCCTAGTAGCTATTTCAGTAGAATTATTCACAAGCAGGGAAATTTCAGAGGAAAATGTGAATGTTCCCTGATAAGCAGTCACTTGGGCTTTTTTTGTTGTTGTTTTTTTGCGTGATTTGATGCTAAGGATCTAGTTTTAAGTGTTATTACCCATGTGTGTGGAAGTATAATTTTGATTTGATCCATATTCTCTTTAATGCCAAAATTGCTGAAAAAAACTTTTTTTATTTGGTTTCAAATTCAAATATGATGGTTTTACTGTTATCTTTTAATTGTCAGTATTCATATTGCTAGTATAAGTGTTTGTATAATCTTTTTCATGATAGACACTGAAAATAAGTAAAAAAAAAAAAAAGCCTACGACTGAACAGGTGCTCATTCATGGTGATATAAATTCAGTTCTACATATGGAAGTTACTGAGAGCATGAACATATGGCTCACAGTTTCCAAGCTTAAGAAGAACTCACAGGTGCTTAGGTGATCCTCTAATCACTGGTAAGGGTCACGTAGAGAGCATCTTTGTCTTCCAACAGTTTTCTTCCACCCACTTGGTGGTTTCAAACTGAATGTAAGGGATCAGACTTGGCTGGGCAGTGTATGAAGAAAGTTTCCAGTGTCAGACTGAGCCCTATTTCCTTCGACCTAAAGGGTACAATTGCTTCAGAGACAGAAAAAAAAGCCATTCACATGCCTTTCTTAGGTGAAATTCTCTTGCTGATAGGCTCCAGGACATTGGTAGGTCCATTCAGTAACTTATCTGAAGACTGAAAGAAAGCAAGGCAAATGCAGCTAAAAGCTATGGGAAAATTCAGCAGGCACACTACTGCACAAAGCCTCCTCCCAACCTATTTATATTCCATGAAAACAATCTGGATAAAATCCTAATG